ATAACATAATACCATCTCTTCGTCGGCTTCAAAGTAGCCTATCACAGTGTGAAAAGAACTGCATTATAGAATGCAATGATAGGGATCCCACCTAAGTTAGTTGAGTTGACCCAACTAACAATGCAAAACGTAAGCTCATGCGTTAGAATTGAAGAAGAAAGCTCTACGTTATTTGACATTAATAATGGTCCAAGACAGTGGGACTCGCTGGCGTGTCTCCTCTTTAATATTCTTTTAGAAAAGGCAATCAGACGATTCAATATTAGAATGAATGGAACTATTTTTAATAGATCGACGCAAATTCTCGCATTCGCTGACGATATAGTTATAGTGGACAGAAGTATGAGAAACATGGAGATAATATTTTACAAGGCTTGCGGACGCGGCAAGTGAATTAGGACTTGTGGTAAACGAGGAAAAAACCAAATATATGTTGGTTTCTGAAAACCCCCGACATATCCAACAGAGAATTCAAATTAACAACCAGCGTGCCAAAGAATTCACATATCTAGGATCGCTAGTAAACGCAACAAACACGAAAAGCGACGAAATAAAAAGACGCATAGCAATAGCAAACAGAACTGTTCACGGTCTCCAGAAATATTTAAAAAATAAAAATGTAAAACATGCAGTAAAGCTCAATATATACAAGATCTTAATAAAACCGGTGTTGATACATGGGGCTGAAACATGGACCTTATCTCAAAATGATAAAAGACTTCTTGGTAGTTTTGAGAGAAAAATTCTTAGATTTTTGGGGCCGTAAATGAAAATGCACTATGGCGTCGAAGATACAACTTTGAACTATATCAGTTATATACCGATCCAGATATTGTTAAATTCGTTAAAGTGCAGGGACTTAGATGTGCTGGACACATTGCTAGGATGTCAGATCACGAATACCCTTAAAATACAGATTCTAAGAGTCAGAAGATGGAGGGAAGTTGTAAGAAATCAACACGAGTGGCGACTTCTTTGTGAGAAGGCCAAGATCCACAACAGATTGTTGAACCTTATGATGATGAAACTTTTATAAAAAAATTGTTTTTTTTTATTTTTTACATAAGTCTCATTAACAGTATTGCTAGGATTTGGGGAAAAGCTAACTTGTGTACTCATTTTGGTTTTTTATGTTCTATGAACCTCTTTTCAAAAGATAGAAGGGGTGATTTGCTGTTAAATATTGAAGTCCAAAACAGGTTTACCGAGCTAAATGTCGAATCAAGATTTACAGTGGACTAGAAAATTATGGAATTCAAACACAGCTTCTTTAAAATAAACCAATAACCAGATAACTTACTTACATAAAAAGGATAGAGGAAATTGGTAACATGCGGTCCAGAATAAAGAAAATTGGAAAATAACAAAATTCTTATATACAATAAACGTTTGTTTAATCTGAAATTTATTTTTCTAAACATTTGTTATCACATCCACATATATCAATAAATTCATTTAATGTATGTGTAAACACAATAAATAAAAAAGATTTAAGCCAATAAAGGTAAAAGAAAACTTAAAAGTCCATTAAAATGATATTCAACTTTAAAACAAACGAAAAAACGTTTTTTTTTGCACTCTATTTTTAAACATAACAAGCAATTCACGCTTATATTATTAGTTGAAAACTAAAACGATCATTATTATTAACAACATTATTTCTACATCAGAAACGATGTTCATTTTTCTACTAATTCCATTCTACGAGATCAATACGAACTTATATTGTTATAGAACTACCAACTGAGTCGATCCTGAGAAATATTCACGAGCATCTGTATAGATAAATTTTATAAATTGAATTAATTAAAATAAGTAATATCGAAAGTAATCAAATAGATATGTCGTTTCCAAAGTAATCTAAAATATTGCTAGCGATTCCTTATTCAGTTTTAAAACCAAAGATTCCTATAAACATGTGTGAAATGCTTTGTCAATATTGGGGTAGATTATTTTTTTCTATAAACGACTCTGTCAGCGATATTTATTTGTACCGCCAGTGGTATCATAAAAGTTGATAAAAACAATATTGTTGAAATGAAAAACTAGATTTTTTTGCAAAACACGCCAGAGAAGTAGATCTACAATCTCAAAAATTATAGGGGAGAATGGGGGATTCCGCGCAGTGGGTAAATCCGCGCAATAAAGTAACTAGTTTACTCTTATATATTATGATAAACTGTGTAAGTCAGGTTTTAGAGCAACTGGAATCAAACTAAAAAATGACCAAGCGGTAAGGAAATGACCAAAGACAAGCGTGTTTTTTTTTTCAATACAAATATGACAAACAAAATTTACTACTTGTAGTTAGGCGGAAGGATAATAGTATTGTGAATATGATGAGGAATTACGATAATATACATCTACTTTCTAGTGTCAAAGGTTGGTACAAACTTAAGCAAAACAAAATATCTACTACATTTGAGGACCCTATAAGTAAAGGGGTATAAGTGACATTGTTGTAAATATTGAGAAAACTACATTGCTGAACTAGAAATCTTTCATTCTATTTGGAGGTAAAGAGATCTATTATAAGCGATAAGTCTACCAGGTGCTTCTTTCTAACGTCAAGTTACTCAGCCCCAAAACTATGAGTAGGGCTTGGAAGAGAAGAAAAACAAGTGCACTTGTTACCCCTGTTCCAATGTGTCAGATTGTTAGTTGAGTTTGTTATCATTTTGGATGGGTAGTGGTATAGCTTCTAAGTAATACTTTAAGCAAATTAAAATAGCAAGAAATTCAGGTGCAGCTTGCATGAACAAAAAACACAATACTCATAAAGCTAAAAAGTTATGAGAACTTAAAAATCATCATTTTCATCACAAGAGCAGACTTTCAATTTATATTATTGTTTATAAAGAGTATTAAGCATTGGGCACTGAAATCTCCAAACAGCTTTTCTAGATCGATCCATACAGACTAAGCCTATAAAAGAAAAAAACTGAATGCAGTTAGCAAGAAAGAGGTATCATGTGTTTATAATCTGAAAAGTTTACAAACGTTTACAAAATATAGTTAAAAGTAAAAAAAAGTCTCCTCAGGCGTGTCATGAGTATACAAAAGAGAAAAGAAATCACACCCGAACAAAATTTCTGAAAGGGCAATTGAACTCATAAAAGAGCATATTAATAATTTTCCTAGGTACACCAGCCACTACATTAGAAATAAGACTGAATATGAGGTATCTTCCTGAGGAGTGTAATTTGAAAATAATGTGCAAACTTTATTGTGATTTCTGTAACGAGGAAAAATAGGGAGAACCTGTAAGTGAAAGCTTTTAGAGGAATATTTTTAATACTCGGTTCAGCCTTAGTTTAGCGTTATTCTCAGCCAAGTACACTCACCTGTGATATATTTGATACATTTCAGATAAAAATAAATCATTGTTCGGTAAAAGAGAAAGCTTTAGCTCAGACAGAAAAGACTTTCACTTGCGTAAGGCGGAAGTCATAAGAACAGCAAAAGATGAATGTCACGACATACAGGATGCTAGCAAAGTTTCGATTATCTTCGACTTGCAAAAAACTATGACAACTCCTAATGTGTCAACTTCTAAAGCATATTATTTAAGGCACCTATGGGTGAATAATTTAGGGGTCCATAACCTACAGACTGGAACAACCCATTTCTCTATGTGACACGAGGCGTCACGTGGATGTCAGGAAATTACATCTTGTTTCCCAAAATATATCAGAAGTCTTCCCCCATCTGTGAAATACATAACTGCATTTAGCGACCACTGTGGAGGCCAAAATAAGTCATTTGACAGTCAAATTTGGGCTCTACATTGTCATAAACACTAAATTTCAAACAGTAGATCATCGCTTTTTTATAAATGGTCATTCTTATAATGAGTGTGATCAAGACTTCGGTTTGATTGAGTTAAAAAAGAAAAAAACTAAAAAGAGCCATATGTACCTCAACATGGGATGGAGCTGATAACTTCTACAAGTAGAAAGTTCTTTACAGTACATGTGAAAAATGACGCTATTTTAGATCAAACACTTATGCCATACTCCAAGAAGAGCGTAAGTGGAATACAGAGCATGCAATGGTTACATTTTTAACAGGACAAACCCTTAACCCTGATTTACAAGAAAACAGCATCATAGAAGAGTTTAATGCGCTATCTATGAAACCCATTCGAGCTGGCAAAAACTCTGCCTTTCTGCCAGATCTCTTGTCAGTACCGATTGATTAAGCAAGCTAAATATTCAAATCTTCAACAGTTACTCAACTACGCACCTCCAATTTACCATGAGTTTTTGATAAATCTGCAACATGATGGTCAACAAGCTTGAGAACTAGCAAACTTAAAGAAGCAGAAGTCGGAAATGATGATTTGGATCACTATTCCGACACTGAATGTCGATAAATCATAAACGAATTATATATTAGTGTTATGGTGAAGAATAAATTTGTACAAAAGATTCATAATCTTTTTACATTTTTTATCTTTATTTTGCATTTCTTAGAAGTAGAAGGGTATAAGTGCTACTTAGCAACCTAAAAATAGCCCCAAAATGAGTAAAGTCAATGATTTTTTAATAATAATAAAAATACCTACAGTTACTAAATGGAGAAGAAAAGCTAGCATTAAAAAATCATGACAATTACAGTGAAGGCTCAACTATAAACGGCATTTACTCAAAATTTACTTCTTGTCACTTATACCCTATTACTTTTTTTATGGTCCTCATTTACGATTGATCAGTGCTGTGAAATCATTTTAACAGGGAACGAACAATCGTTGATGACGTAAAACGGATTTAGTAGAAAAAATCGTAAATAAAACAATTTAAACATAACTGAAATTATATATGAAAATAAAATTATAAAACGGGTTAGTATTACAAATTCTGCAAGATTCACTCCCACTTGACAATTTTCAAGGAGTGTGAATTTCACCCTAGGACATGATAAAGGTATTTACACATGGAATTAGCTGCACTTGCACTAATTTGAAGTGAGTTCTGGTCAATTTTATATACATGGAATTGTCACCTTGGACGTGGTTGTAATTGAGTAGCATACTTTGATTGGGCGTACATATAGGCCAATCCTTCCAGTCTCTCTACGGGAGGCTGTCTGGGCAATTGACTGTAAACCTGTTGCTGAGGAGGTTGTTCTGATTCTTTGGCAGTGGTAATTACAGAAGCATGATCAACAGTCGGCACTTTAAAGTTTACTCTATTTACAGGTGGTTTTAACCTTGTATTTCTACGAGATCTTGTTGCTTCCTGTCTTGTTCTACTAGAGATAACGTTATTGTGGTTTATATTGTTTTGATATTTTATGGTTTGTAATTTTATAGGAGACATTGGTGTGTGATATCCAGACACTGATACTGGAGTATTTCGAGGTGTATCCTGAATATCTTCGTTAAGAACTGAAGTAATAATACTTTCTAAACTAATGTCAAAGTTTGTTATAGGCATATTTTGTTTAATTACGGATACATTAGTATCAGTCTCAATCTTAATATTATGACATATTTGGCGATTTTGACTGGATGATGAAGCAGATATACTATTATACATTACACAGTTTTTGTCATTTGCTTTACTGTTTCTAAGAGAATTATTTCTAATGTCAGGTACTGAAGTATTCATTTCGTATGTTGAAATTATTTCATTTTTTCGTCCCTTTTGAACTAAAATTTCGGAATTTTGGTCGTGCTTCGATGTGCTTTGTATCCCCGTGTAAATTTGTGAATGATTTACATAATTACTACAAGGTTTCGATACGCCGCCGGTACTTTGTTGATCTCGTACAGCTTGTGCTCTTGTTTCATTTAAATTTAGATTAAAGACATCTTGTTCTAACTGTAAAGCATTGCTTTGAAGATTTTTTCGATGCTCAAATGCTGCGCATATTTCCCTTAGAACGTTATCTTTAAAAAGCTCCGGTGATACATCTATATCGGGCAAAAGCTTGACACCAAGTTCTGCTTGTCTCTGACGCATCAACTCTTTTTGTTTGCTTTCTAACTTAGCCACTTGATTTTCTAATCTCTTAGCTTTTGATTGTAGCTTTTTATGCTTTTTGACTACTTCTTTGGCTTCAGCGGAGATTTCTGCTGGAGTATTTCCATTTAATCCCATTTCTTTTTTCCTCACATTGATTAATTTTACACCTTCATTTTTAAGCACGTTAACTTGCTTTTCTAATTGCGTCGCACGATTTTCTAAATGTTTTTGTTTTTTTCTTTCGCTTTCAATTTGCGAAAGTATAAAGTTTTTATATGTTGGGCTTCTCATTTGATTCAGCATGTCCATGTATTGCACTTTAAAGTTATCTAAAAGAAGTTGTAGTTCATAAGGAGTTTCTGATTGTTGGTCTGGTATGCTGATCTCTTCATGAACGATTAAACCAGTATTTAGGGCAGTCAGTTTGTGGTTAACACAGCCAGGTGCAGGACTATCGTCAAATTTTGATACTATACTTACTAATGTTTCATTATGAAGAAAGTCCAAATCATTAATTTGTTCTTCTTTAATTTTGTGTTTCTCTTCAATGTTGTGAGCTTTGGTATCTGGAGATATTTTGTACTGCAATTTCCTTAATTGGTGCTTATTCTTTGGAGCACGACTTTCTGGTCTCTTCTTTTTAATAGATTTATAATTGGAACGAGCCCTTTTTGGTTTATGACCAACACTCCAGTCAACTGAATCTGAGTCAGAAGTAAAATCTGAAGAATTTCTGAGGAAATACGTTCTACCTCTCGTTCCTCTAGAGCTTGTGGTAGAATTCGAATTGTTGTCATCCTCGTTGTTTCTCAACTGAGCCTGTTTTAATTTTTGAAAATACGATTCCAATTTTGTACGATCTATGGTATGTAGAAAGTAGGAAAAAGGCCTTCCAGTCCACGAAACAGATCCTTTTAAAGGCGGCATTTCAGAAACATGCATAATTGTACCAATATCACTTAGATTTCGATCTGATATTCGAAAATTTAATGAACAAAAATTCTTAGAAGAAACTATTTTTACTCCATCTCTTAGATCAGCAAATCTTTCTTTTAATTGATGATCAAGAGCTGGACCGAATGCAAAGTTATTAACAAATACTATGCTAGATTGGCTAATATTCTCTCTATACTCTTCTGCCAGGAAATCTCCTTTAATAAGTTTATATTCCCCATATTTTTTTCCATACCATCGCATCCATGTACGAAAATTCTTGCTCATACTTTCAGCATATAAACTAGGTACATCTGCACATTCAATTCCAATACATAACTTACACGATGTGGCTGCAGCCATTTGGAGAACTACTTGTCCAACCCCAGATCCCAGATCAATGAAAATATCATCAGAAGATATTTTAATATGATCGATCATTTGACACACAAGGTCATATGATGTTTCACCATATACCTCTGGTGAAAATGGTTCATATTGATTTAGCCTTTCTGGAGCTGTAACTGAAGAATTATATGTTTGCAGTAAGATATGTTTTAAAAGACCTCGAGATGGACTATTTGCAGTTCGGTGAGCAGGTAATGAAGTCCCTTTCTCCAAAGCAACTACACCATCTATAGCTTTGTTGTATCGATCACATAAAGATTTCATACTTTCATAGCTCTTCGTGTCATAGTTACAAAGTATGTTATTCTCTAAAGGTAACTTTAGCACAGGTAGATCTTCACAAACCCATCGAATTGTATCAACAATTTCTGTAGCTCTATCATGCTTATCATTTCCACGTCCATAGATTAAGGGCCAAGTATAACATACAGGTTCAGCTCCAACAGGAGAATGTAATTTTAATTCCATTATCTTAAATTGTCTAAATCAAGGAATTTTTTTCATAAATTGCAGTGGTAAATAAAACAGAATTTGTTTTGCACAAAAATAAACATGCAATTGTTGGATGTGGATTGAACTGTCAGAAAAATGTAAAAGTTATGTTATGGATATGATCCAAATCTAATTATTATACATAAAAAATAGGAAAACAGTATTATAATATTTATAATAAAGTATTATAATGTCTACAAAAAAAAAATTGTACATATATTTGTAAATTTAATTTGTCAGTGTGACAACTGCTAAACTTTTTAAGCAATATTTTTCAAATATTACTTTCGTTTAATAACATATATGAAACATTCTCATAAGTAACAAAAGTGATCATAGTAGCAGGTATCACTCTTAATAAATTTGTACCCAAACCTTTATAAAATCCTTTCCAGCCTTCATACAACCACGTTTGTTTGATACAATCTAGTGCTCCTGCATAACTGTAGTGCTGATTCTGTAATCTTGCTCTAATAACTTGGTAAGGGTATGTAGTTGCTGCTGCGATTAACTTTGAAGTGGCTGCGAATGTTAAATATTCAATAGTACCTAACTTTGTACTTAATGGCAGTGAACTGTAGGAACAATACTCTTTCTTTAATTCTTCATACACCATAAATTGCACAGCACCATGGGAGACCCCAAATATACCAGGTACAAGTCCCTTGTAGTACCCTCTAAAGCCTTCTTTTTGATAAATTTTTATCAAAGCATCAATCATACCATCATACTTCTTGTGACCAGCATATTGTAGACATAATCTCGTTTTGACTACCCAAACAGGATTAGTTAACAGCAATGTCATAAACCCTGACTGGGAAGCCACTAAAAGGTGTGTACTTGCACTCAATTTGGTATCTATGTTACCCTCTTTTAACCAATTTTTCATAGAGTCATAAAAGAAGAAATACAAGCCCCAAGATGCTCCTGCTCCCCATACATTTGGTGTCACTCCTTGATACAATCCTCTAATACCTAAAAAAAAATATTTAAATTAGCAAAAGCTAATTAAAAAAGTTGATTTATGATACAACAGCTATACATATTTAACTTTTTTCTTTAAAAAGTTTAGAACTTTGAGAAGAGCTCATTCATTTAGTAGACAAGTATTGTGGCATTTACAGGAAATAGAAGAGAAAAAATCCTTATCCGCATTGATAGCTTTGGGAAGCCTGAAACTATGTTGTTATTAAAATCCACAAGGAAAATAATTCCTGCAGCTGGCTGTATACCACGTATCACAAAAAAGAGGTTAGATCTTTGTAAATGGGTGTATTTAAAAAACCCTTAAAAGGGAGTACATCAATTACATGAACGTTTTCGGAATAAAAATTCCATCATAAGGTTTAAATTGTAATCTTTGTAAATATACCTATTTACAAAGATCTAACCTCTTTTTTTATGTTGTTATTCTTCTGTCACAAGAAATCCTCAGAGCTACCTTTATGTGATTAAAAGGCCACAAACTAAATGACATGGTATTTTTAGTTCATAAAAATTAAATTCATGTAAAAAAGTGTTAAAATAGTGTTTTCTGAATTTTGATATGCTAATATGTTGCTTATAAAACTGTAAAATAAGCCTTTCTTTTTAATTATCAATAAATTTAAATATTCATTGTAAAACAATCAACCTATACCTGTACTTAAATAGAGAAACGTTGGGTTGGCTCATGTATTGGGTCTAGTTAGATGTGGTTTGTCAAAAAGTGTTGATATTATTTAAATTGTTTTTCCCAGGTAGCTTTATACATACAAATTGAGAAATACATATAAATTTGAATAATTAACATTAAAATCTATTAACGATCATACTGATTTTGAAGTTCCCTCTTCACTCACTCGCACCTTCCTAATTTGAGCTGTATACTTTATGTTATATAAGTTTATGTTAAAATGCATTTTTTTCTTCAAAATTTAGATATAAAAGACTATAACTTTCATCTTTCTACTGGCACTAAATAAGTTTGTTAATTTTGGTAAACAAAGTTGTGTTATTTTAAGAAAAAAGCTGTTTTTATCCAAATCCATCTACAACAGTAACTCCTTTTTTTAATAAAATGTGTATCAAATACCATCTTGTTGAATATGAAAAAATATTTTTCCCAGATAATAGCAAAACAGTTATTCTAAATGTTTATAAGGATACATTTGCAGTGTTTTCATATAGAAATTTTTCAATAACATGTTTTTCCTTTCCTTTTTTTATTCATATCATTTAAACTAATTGATAAATTGCTCTGAAATTTTCAATACATAACCAAACTTTCCAAGCAGCAGAAAATTTGTACATTGATTTTGTCATTATTAAAATTTATTGAAAATAAGGATTCTTACTTTACTGTTTTCTAAGCAATCAACAAGTATATCAACATTTAAAAGGTTTTTATGTTAATTATAAAATACATTGAATGTTTTTTAGATGTTCTACTTTTTACTGATACATAAACATAACAAAAGTGTGCATTAATTGTTAGTAGCTAAAAACCACCATATCATTCACTGCAGGAAATATATAGATTATTAATCCTAGAAACCTATACTAAGCCAAAAAACCTGGCCAAATCAGAGTGCCCAGTAAGGTACTTTTTGCTTATTTCACAGATCTCTATTACTGAATGATAGGAGTTAGACCATCTGAATAATTGTTTATTCAAGTGCCATGAATTTTTCCAAAACTTATACCAATTCATCAGCTTATTTTTTAATCATTGAATAATTGATTTTAGTCAGCTTATAGAGAATATTTCAGAAATTTTTAACTAACTGTGTTAGGAGGGAATGGGTAATTGTTAACAAAATATCTATGGTATTATTAATAAACATTCAGTAACCACCAACTGTTGATTTGAACAATACCTGGTTTATTTTACACTTTTTATTCACTAGCTTTCTATACTCAATTTAAAAATTATTGTTCCATTGATTTGTAAATAGATCAGACCAACTTTCCTTTAGTAATTGGATAAATGGGCACAAGGTTATTTTTCTCAAAATTAGGTTATATAAACAATCTTATTAAAACATTTTTCCTCATGTTAAGACTTAAATTTAACTTATCTTTTGATTATGGTTTTCTTTCCATATATAAAAAATATATTCAAATCTAACATGTGAGGCTATCACAGCCCACAGCTGATAACCACAATACCGCCAAAAGATAGTTCCATGTTCCATTGCACATTTTTATAATAAACAATCTTTGGTACTAACCTTCCTGTCTAAAAATAGTCAAAAAAGCATTTGCAATTCCTTTATATTTAGGTGTAGATTGTAGTCGTCCATCATTCACGGCAAATCTTATTTTAATAACATCTAATGGGTGTAAGACCAGGGTTGAAGTTATGCCACCCGATAATCCAGCTACTAAATGTTCATATTTAACCTGACTAAGTAAACTTACACTCTCCCGTGTTGTTTTTTTGGTAACTAATGTCATGATTTTCACCTTACATTCTTCTATAGTATTTAGCAGTTATGTAAATGTAAAATAGATTATTTATCTAGGGTATTTATTTCACAATAATTTTTTAAATCTTTGTGATATTTTAGGTTAGGTTATGTTTTGTCAAAAGTAAGGAAATCAATAAATTCTATCATGACACGTCATTTTTATAGAAAGTTTTAAAGAAGTTTTATGTAGTCCTCGGTAGTATAGTGGTCAGTATCCCCGCCTGTCACGCGGGAGACCGGGGTTCGATTCCCCGCCGGGGAGGTCCTTTTTGTTTTTTTCTTTAAATATTTAAAAAGATATTGTGTATTAATTATTAGAATTACTGTATAGGATTTGTTAATTAAGGTTGAAAGACTGTTTTGTTAAAAAATGACTTCCAATGTTCTGAAGATTATTTTTGTCACACGATGCAGTTCTGTCATTAGTTGTTTATAATGCCAGTTATTCAAGAAATAAATGTAGATTCTGGTGTTATGCGAAGCAAATTTGTCAATAATATCAGTGATATTAATTTTTTTTAGAGAATTCGTATTCTCTAAATTCGTATTCAGAAAAAGTTAAGGTTAAAATACCCAATGCGAAAGCAAAATTTGGAAAGCAGGGAAGGAGATCGGTTTTGATATAATGTCTAATAAATATTTTTTTTGTTCTTTTTTACCTAAAAATATGTTTGAATGAAGTTCTTTCATTAACGAGTTATTTACCGTTTGTTTCTTTTACGATACTTTTTCCTCCCGTACCTGTAATTTAATACTTAATGAATGTCATCTTTTTTGTTTTAAAGATATTCGGTTGGTCCCATGATACTATAACAAAACATATAAATGTTGTTATAGTATCATGGGTTGGTTCAATACTTTATCCCAACCTTGTTTATGGTAAGCTTTGGAATCAAGGCCGAGCAATAGAATAGGAATAGAAGTAAACTGCTCGTCATGATAGGAATTTCGTTAAAATGTGTTTAATGTTTAAAGGAAACGAAAGTAATAATCAACACAATAACATACCTGAAGACACGAAATAGAAATCAGTTTTTAGGAGGTAGAGATAGCCATAAATTGACTCAAAAATAAACCATGACCATGACCAGACGGAATAACCAAACAGCTTCTAAAACACGGAGGAGAAAGTATAACCCTAGAGATGACAAAACTTATACAAAATTTAGTATTGCACTGCAAGATACCAGACGCATGGAAAAACAGCATAATGATACCAATGTTCAAGAAAGGAGATAAAGAAGACCCCAACAATTATAGAAGTAAATCAATATAAGGTTGAATGTTCGAATAATTAAACTTTGAGGGTATACAAGGCAACTATCGAACACGGTGATTAATTTAATCTTGCCCAAGCGCTTTCGATCAATAGATCATCTTCAGGGGCATTTCGTCAATTGTGGACTATCCGACATACTAGAATGTCATAAATGTAAAAACTGGACATAACAATACAAAATACACTACACTAAGACAAACAAACACTTTAAAATTTATATGGCGAAGCTACATATTGTGAAGAAG